GTTTTCGAAACACATGAAATATTATTAATAAACCAATGACATATGTTACGACTTTCCGATTTTCTTTTCTAATATATGTATCCTGTGTTAAGAGAAAGTACCACAATTTAGATTCGTACCTTAAATGAATCAGTCGTGCAAAATATCTTCTATGAAAAAAAGAAATGTCACGTTGATATGCGAATCATTTCTCATTACAAATTATAAGAGTTTATTAACCGCGCGAATTAATATAAGCGTTGTTTGTTACCTATAAACGTGTAAGGAATGATAATTTTTGACGAAGGCACTTGCAATTGCGTCTAGAAGGATAAAAACGCAACGACACGCGGAGCAACCATCACTGCTTCCAAGTTTCGAGATACGAATGATAATGCGGCGAGCTTGCGTAAACAATAGCGAGCGGCACGCAGGTAGCACATTAAAACAAATGGCAAAGCCACGCCAACCAAATGTTATTGACCCAACAGATTTATTAATACTTCATAAAATTCACATCCAATATTCACGTTAAGCAGCGTTTACACATGCAATGATTAGTGGCACCAACTGACTGGCATTCATTGGCGCCAGAAACGGTGTTGCCATTAAACTAGCAAACTCACAAGTGTTTACACAGTGATGCTATTGGCGTATAATATGGAAAATATTTAACATTTATCAATTAAACACACAGTAAATGAGAGCAAGCATATATAACCAATTTTATGCTTAAACCTGACACCAGTAGGGAAGACCGGGGCTAACTCGACATTGGGGCAAACTTGACACTAGACTTTCTGCTAATTTACATATATCGTAGAAACTTGTCTTTCCTACTGTAAATGCGTCTTTATGTGCTAGTATTATCAACGGGATTTGATGACATTCTGAGTTATGATGTAATTTTTAGCGCGACATAAGCGTTTTTGATGGTGAAAAGTAATTTTTCTGATCTCTCGAAAATTTCTACTCTTTCATCGAGCTTTACTCTTGCAAACCTATATGTAAGTGATTTTTATAGAAAATTTGATGATCTATATGAATCCGATAATCGTTTTTGGATATTTTCAAAATTTTCATGTTTTTGAAGTGATAAAAGTGAAAAGAGACGTCCGGGGCAAAGTCAACACCACGCCGTTTCGTCGGCTCCCAATAACAAACGATGCTTGTCATGCAGCCGTATGGCTTATGACAAATGTATGCGCACGTCCGATCGCAAGTTTACCTGCATTAATTGTTTTTCAGACATGAGTTTAGATGAAGATAATTGAAAGTTCAACAATTTTTGTTCTCATTTTAAATGATTGTTCTAGCTACTTTATTCCGAATTTTTGTACTTTTTAAATACACAATAAACAATGCATTTTCATTTTCAGACAGTAAAAAATAAGTTCCAGATCAAATTGTGTCGATCAGACATAGTGTCGAGTTTGCCCCGGCGGGGTGTTGAGTTTGCCTCGGCATTTTTCAATTCGAAAATTTGTCTTTGCGTCACTTTTCCTTTCCTGGCGGCAAAACAAAGCGATGTGCAGCAAAACTTTGAAGAAACACTCTTTAAATATATACCATTAAATTTGCCTAAAAATTTTAATTAAATATTAAAAATTGCCTTTGGAAAAATAGTGTCGAATTAGCCCCGGTCTCCCCTACTGCTAAAAGTTAAAATATATTAACTTTCGATTCTCTGGCCAATAACCGCCAGTAAACGCCACATTACTAGCGCCAGTTTGTATCAAGTGTTTACACTTGCATTTTTACTGGCGCTAGTCGATTGACGCCACTAATCATTGCGTGTGTAAACTATGCTTTAGGTTCACGTTTCTGGTATTTTGAATTGACAATGAATACAAACGATGGATATATATTGTGACTTTCTCTGTGGGGTTATTCAATGCGACTGTTCATGTGTGACGTACGCTACGCCTCTCTCTCCCTCTCTCTGTCTCTCTTTCAAATGATAGATTACATTGCTGATAGACGGATAACTCGAAACGTGATACGAATATAGATTAGTCGAATCAATTTAATGTAAATGCGTCGATAAATGGTCGCTATCTGGTCGAATACCGGTTGATATTTTTTGTCATCGACTTCATCATAATTGTTTTTATATTAATTGAGCAATTGTAAATATTTCTATTAAATTTTTATTATCTTTTTGCCAATTTTCTACATCGAATACACAATAATGCATGTACTCTGGCTGTACTAAAAATCTATATTTTTCTATATTTTACGTCATACTAGAGATTTTCAGTACTGACAGTTGCTGACAGTAAATATCGGAATGCACCCTGTGCTTTTTCGATTTTCCGTCAATTCGATATAGAGAGAACTGGTCAGAAAGGCAATAGATATCTTATAGACAACCTTATAGATACAAGTCGACATCGACTACAATTCGATTAATCATTTCCGGTTCGTGATAATACAACGACACACGAAGCGGATCTCGCCGCTGCTTGTCCGCTCTCGGTGTGCAAGTGATGATAACGCGGCGATCTTGTGTACAGAGCGTTACAGGCGTGTATACGCCCTGCATACCAAAACAACAAACGCCGTACGTTACGTTATGCGCTAAAGCAACAGACGCGCGAAAACAAAAAAACTTGTGAAGATCCCTGATGCAGACTCCACCCGTAACTATATGAAAAATAACGCGTGTATTTAAGGGTTAAATCTAACGTTTACGAAGAATAAAGTTACTTATCGATCGACAAAATACTTATGCAAAATAATTTATTATTTTTTAAAATATTATCAAGCTACAAAGATTCAACCTGACCGAAAAAGCACTTCTCTATTTACTTATGGTAATTCATTATTTTGTTACTTTGCGCCATACGTCTTTTAAGAGAAATGAGATTATCATGTACATTATCATGAATTTTTCTTTTGATCTTTTATACATCAAGAAAGTAAAACTCAACTGCTATGAAAAATGTGTTAACTAAGTAGCTTTCCTTTCTTTGATTTATTATTTCACTTCTCTCGACAAAAAGTTTGAAATAAGAGAAATGTAATAACAAGACAAGATTTTTATTTTCCAATTACAATCATGACAAAATACTATTCTTCAAAGCTAGATTTAACATTGTAAATTATCTTTAAGTCAAATAATTATTCCAACTTTTATTTACAAAAAAAGATTAAATAATTTGTACGTAACATTAAACTTTTCTATTAGTATATTAGTTAAATAACTGCTTAATTTAGGAATTATAAATTATTGTTTGTTAATATGTACATAAACAATATAATTATTTCCTAAATGATGCTTAAAATGCTTTAATTCGAATGTATTTACCGCTTTAAATATTTCGTTGATTCAAATGTACTTTATCTATTTTCAAATTAAGCGTAGAGAAAAACACTAACTGTCAGATTAAACAATTCAATAACAAACGTATACGTCGTTAAAATAGCTGTTGTTTATTAACAATTAATTTAAAATCTAAAAAATAATAATGTATTGTCTGCAGATTAGAAACCAAAATACAAAATCATCGATATACGGTAAAAATCAATGTCTATCCGTAATAAAAATTAAACAAAATTTTAATTTAAAAAATGTTTTAACTTATTGAAAGTAATAGAAAATATTGCGTAGATCGGTTACAGTTTTGTTAAGTCGGAGGTCTAGTAGCAGCTGGCAAACCTGCAGTTTAACTTTCAATAGGAAAAGTAAGTTTCGGCATTTGCGCTAATAAGATTATTCGGTGACTTATAAATCCCAAAGTTCCTCAAATTCTCGGTTTCAACTGCTGGGAATCTGGTGCTTTCTGTCTTGTTATCCTTACGAAGTTGGACGATATCATTAGGTACGTGCTTAATTAATAGAATTTCCCGTCTATAAAGTGATTTTATGATTTACGGGTTATGATCCGCGCAACTTACCAAGTTATTAATCTTATGACTGCCGGGAAAGTCACTTTTGTGGCTCTGAACAAATCTCGAAATTCTGCGCAATGTGTATGTTAGGTATTTATATAGATAAATTTTTGGGAAAAAAAAGACACTATTTCAATGAAAAAATGCCGGCAGGCTGAAGGTTAAAGAGAAAAAATCCGTCGCATCTTTCAATCTAGAACCAGCTTCTAAATTCAATAAGTTCAGCATCGAGCGGAAATCCCCCCCTCTCTCTCTCTCTCTCTCTCTCTTTCTTAATAGTAAAGAGCAAAAAATAGAACTGCACGCGGTGCCCTATTGCATGAACCGAATAGAAAAAGTATAAACTGCGTTTTTTCGTCGCCACGTTCTCATTTCCATTGTTGCGCGATCGATAGATCGACGCGACTAAACGAAAATTATAATCTCGAACATTGAGCAAACTTAAAGGCATTTGCACAATGCCAGGCAACAGGCAATAGAAACAGGGAATAGAAACAAAATTTCCGACGCGTTGGATTTTTCTATTCTTCATTACCTGACCAGTCACATAGTGATTTGATTTTATATGACACTTTTAGTGATTGGTCAAATATACAAGCAATAGAGAATAGAAATCTAACGCGTCAGAAATTCTGTTCCTATATTCCCTGTTACCTGGCAGTGTACAAGGGCCTTAACCGTCACTATATTTTTGCGCGAATACATGAATCCTTTTAATCCAGTAAAGATTAACGGCCGTTTGAATCCAGTTACAGAAAATTCAAATTCCCGTCACTCTCTTTTTCATGCATAAAAGCAGCGAAGTATGCAATGTACGCGTCACAGGAATTAAACAGAGAACGCGCAAAGTTTCCTTGCATTTCTCTATCAATTTCTCTGCAAAAAGCGCATTTCTCTATCAATTTTCTTTTAAATAAATTGTCAGTGTACCTTTCAATAAATTAGCACCTTTTTTCGGGGGGTGGTTTTTGGGGGTAGCATTTTTGCAATAAGTAAATAAGAAGAGACCGAAATGTGGAAGAAAGGTATATATACTCTACCCCGCAAGATTTGTTAATGAAATAATAAGTTTCGTCGAAAGATAGAGAATACTTCGCTCTAACGAGATCATTTCATTTTCTTTCCAGACACGTCAAGTGTTTTTGGGTCTCTGCCTGCCGGGTACATGCGATCGCGCATCCCTGACCTCGATGCTAAGGGCCAGCGCTGATAGAGTCGAACGCGAGGGCAATTCGACCTATCGATCGAGCGGCCCGAAAATTCGCGTTGTTACAGTGAAGCCCGTGCCATCCAGCAATTACTGCGCCTGGCAAGATCCCAAATTTTACGTCCTCTCGTGAGTAATCCTAAAAATCCTCTTACAAACGAACCGTAAATCGCTCCGAAAGCATCGGGCCAGGGAACTCGTGATATGACCTTTCGCATGATAATATCATTAATTTAATATTATTGGAAAATGCATCGAATCAGCGGAAATATGATGTAATTGTTAGTTAATTCCATTTCATGAGCGTTGACTGTTGCGATTATATGCACAAATATTATTTACACACGATACTGTTTAAACACGACGGTTTCTTTTTTGTATTACATGATGCTTTTTCGCGGCGTTCCATAAGACTGTCTTCGATAATAGAAAAATATTATTCATGCGATTTAAAGTGAGCGAAGCACTTGAGCTATCTAACGGCGTAACTTGGAAAATTTCATTCCGGGACGCAGTGCTCCGGTGAAACTTATGAAACTTGCTTGCCGTACTTTCGGTAAACGCAGGCAGGTATCTCCTCCCCCTTATTCGTATCCCTGAATGCCAAAGTTGATATTCCGACGATATCGAAAGAAGAAACGTGGTATCTAAGAAAAATCTGTTTCCTACAGATCGAAATATTTGTTTTCAATTCGAATGTAACTTTGCTTAACTGCATGTATACATACATGCGTTATCTGCAAGAATAATTCGACGATATTAAACCGTATGTAAAATATTTTTAAATTAATTAAGAATAAACGAATTTTGCGTAATTAAAAAAAAAATATTTTTTTCCAATTAAAGGACGCGGTATTTCGAATGTGGAATATTTATATTGATATTCGAGATTGAAGTGATCTAAAAGCATTATTTTGTCCGATGAGTACAACGTTGTGTCCGTTGCATACAACGTTGTAAGTTCCATTTTATCGGCTATTATGAAGTAACCGCCCAGCCTTGCGGAATGAAATTTGTGAGAGATAAAATAAGGTTATATTTCAATGACCCCCGACCGATATTGTTCCGCGTTAAAACGCAATTTTCCGAGCAAAGCTGTGCACATAATATTTTACGCTTACGCGCGTTTACTTTAATAAACAAATACGGAGAAACTCGCGTTTACATAAGAGGAGCATGATTCCTTAAGTTTAAGATTCGCGATATGGTCAGGCCGGTTGACAGAAATTTTGCAATCATTTATTGCGCAACGCGATGCGACAAGAGATTTCATTTTGAGTAACGAATTAATGTACGACGTGCAGACGAGATAAAAATACGTCGTAATTAGACGCGTGCCGCCATGGCGAGCTTAAAAAGTAATTAATTACAAGCTCCCTCATAATTCTCAGAGAAAATAAAGCGCGACGGGATCATGCGGCGACAATATATGTACTTATAATCTCTTTAAAAAATGACCGTAAATTAGTAAATATTAAAACGCTATATATAATAGCGTTCAATCCTTTCATTTTCAGTAGCGAAAATCTGGGTTTATCATCTTTAATAATATATCGCGAATAGAAAATACCTCTTTTCGTAAATTTTTCATATATTTTTTTGCATTTTCGTATATAAGAAATTAATACTGCTGATACTATGTATTTTACACTGTTGGAAAATTTCTATACTTTTGTGAAAAAATCTGCTGGTTAAAGTTTTTGTGTAAAGTAATCAACATATACATGTGTAGATTTAACATATGTCTGTTATGTTAATTAAACTTAACAAATATAAAATGTAAAATTACTAAAATAATTAAAAAAATAAGTTAAAGTAACATAATTTACAGAAAAAGAGCGTTGATTTTACTCTATAACAGAAGTGGGGATAATTCAACATAAAGTTATGTTAATTGTACACACAATTAACGTCAAATTACAACCGAAATTACATTTCTTTTCCGTTCAAATATTAACATAGTATCAGTGTTACCATTTAATACATCCATATTGTGTTAAATTGACACAAACATTTGAGTAGACCGTTTGGGACATTGATTTATGTTACATTTAACACAAATTTTCCAATTGTGTACGTTTTAGCGACGTAAATGCAGTTATCATAAATTCTCCCAATCGAATTGTGTCTCATAGGAGCGGATTAAAATAGTCAGCTCTACAAACGAATTATACTCCTAAATCTACGAATGGAAATTAGTTTAAGCTCCCGCTGCCTAAGTTAGAAACTGCGTCGAACCGAACCGAAAGACCGAGGAGTACGTACTGTTCTCGTGCACTGGCAATTAGGGCATTCGAAGAGTTCAATCCACGACAGTAGTTATGTCGCTCGATATCCCTGACGTGCGAGTGAAAGCAAGAGTTCGGCAGGGTTGGCTAATTTCGACTACGGATTGCAGTCAAACTTTGGTTATATACACCCGAAGTTTCGGAGCCTCGTTAACCGGAACGGAGATAGGCACGTAAACGGATCCCCCGTCTTTCGAACTCTCTCGTTTTTCCTGCTTTCTGATCGAAAGTTGTACTTTGTCCGGCGCTGTTTTCTATTCGGCTCGATGGGAACGGTATTATTATCGCCGGCACATATACGCCACGCCGCCAGATTATTAATTACGCGGTCGAGATAGCCGCACGCGAAATATGGTTTATGCGCATCTGACGTAGTCGGTTATGTGAGCGCGTAAGCGTACCACTTGCGAAAAGAAAGTGCGGGAACTATGTTGCACACGTGAACGGTTATAATTGCCGGGAGTGCAAGTGGCAATCGCGCAAGCTCAACGAGTTTGCACCCTGCGTTTAGCCGACCGCACACGCTACATTAATGCCATGGCAATGAATCGATACCACGAGATTTATCGCACAGTTCTCGGATGATACCTAGCATCACCATTGCATTCCATTACGCGAATTACGGTCGATATATTTACAAGCGAAAGGGCTTAATTCGTAATATGAATTATACGGATACGCGTTTCGCCTAGAGTTGTACAGAAAACAAATGCAAAACAGCTCAACGCAAACTCAATCAAGAAGCTATTATTTATGAGAGATAATACCCAATTTAACTTGGGTTATTTGTTATGTAACTTTGATATGCCTTAACTGGACGTCCTTGGTATTTCGCAATTTGGAACGAAGCCCGAGAGAGCAAAGTTTACGTCGTAGGTATGTACCGCACGAACGGCCGAAGAACGCCGAAAGAAGAACGCGGGACAGGTCGTAAGAAAAGCCTCCTTTCCTTCCCTTTCCTTTTGCGTCAAGTTTTCTAATTTACGCCTGCCTGGGAAGAAAAAAATCGGCGACACCGACTGTTCGGAGTCAGTGCCAAACGTTGGTTAGCATGCTTACTTTCGTTGCGTTTCACTCACTTACGACTCGCGTCGCTCATCTAATCGAAAGGAGAGAATTACGACCGTCGATCGGTTGCATAATGGCGCTCGTGCGATCTGGCGGTGTTCGACAAACAAGGCAAACGCAAACAGCCGGGGTATGACACGGATGTCAAATTGAGCAAGTGTCCGTTGCACAGACCCGCGCGGACGATGCAACCGCGCCAACGTGTCACCATCAGTCTTTTCTAACTCCCGACTCCCGGCATTTCGTTACCGCGGCGTATAAACGTGCGCCGGCTGCTCTTGCTGTAAATGTAATGTAAATTGCATAACTCCCCGGTTAGCGCTGAAAACTGACCGCGCCTAATAAGAACGGGACGTTCATCGCGCTATCGCGATCCTAGTCTATATATGTATATCGCGCAATAAATTGCACGCGATCTCGCGACATGCGATCCCCGATCCGTGCTTCGCGTCTCCACGCTGGAGTTGCATTTTGAAGAAATGCATATTTCATTGATTCACCGCGATTATCTCAACCGCATCCTTTTCGTATTATGCATGTAAATGAGACGTTGCCGAGTCGTAGTGATCATTGGCTTGTCACATTCATGCACGGTGCTATTAATGTTCATTCATAAATAGCCGTTTTTATTCACCGTCTTCGATAAACATCGCAAATGTAATAAAATATCGTAAGTTACATGTAAATAATCTACGAATTAAGAAGTAAAAAGGTAACTCAAGTGTATATTGTTAAAGGTTAGAGGATGAAATTTAAACCAATACCATGAGTTAGATTTATTTTGCTATATTTTTAACTACCATGTGCGTTAAAATTTATTTGTTTAAAACAAAATAGGATTATTTTAATTCCATTGGTTTAGTCAAATTAACATTGTTTTAGTTAAATTAACTACGTATTGAGTAGGAGCAGTGACGACCTATGGAATAGTTAAAGTTACTCAAAATTGAGTTTAATTTAACCCTATGAATTTATAGTGTAGTTGACGACAGATTGCGTTAAATTCTCGTCAAGAGAGAAATCACACGATACGATGGTAGATTATTTCTCAGGCATACCATATACTGCGCTCACAATCGTTAGACGATTAACCAGAATTATCATGATATTACAATATTACGTACACATATAGTATTATGATTGCGTAAAGGCAGCATGATACTATTTAAATGGTTAGCGTTACGCAGCTAATTGTGAGTCACCGATTAAATGCATGATACAGGAAAGCAAAAACTTTTTCTCAACGTTACAGAACGTTAATCATTTACGCCTACCATGCACCCAGGAAACCGCGTATTGCATAAATCGTAATATATTACAAAGCATCCGATTGAATCGCCGATTGCCGAACGCCATACGTGCCGCCGAAGGCGCTGGCAAAAAACTGACGCGCGACGCCAATAATAATTCCGCGCGGACGGCCAATTTTCTGCATCGGCCCGTGTTGCGGTGTATTACATCAATCCGTGTTTTGCAATAACGTTATTTCTTATACCGGCGCAAGGAATGTCGGTCGCAGAATTCGAAGAAATTGTAAAAAGGCCGCGCACACATATTGCATAAAATTCGTATACTCGTTACCGAGCGATAGAATTCAGATGGACGGTGTTTTTGCAGATATATACGGACGATGTAATTCAACGTCGTGTTAACTCGCACCGAGTGAAGCAAATTGGGATAAAACTGGATTACGTCTTGCTCAACTTGAGCAAGTACGATATAACTAATGAGATCGTCAACCCGACATTCAACGAAAGTAACTCGGTTAGTTTTTAACACCGTCCAATGTTAACGAACGGGATCGCAAGAACGAACGTTCGTATAAGAAAACTGCATATTGCCTGACGATTTAAATGTTCGCGCGAGCATACTGGGAGAATCGTTTGAACCCTCGATGATGCCACGATACGCCCCAGTTGCAACTATTATTGCAGAACAACGCGACGCGTTCGTGTCCTTGCGCGTAATGCATAATAACGATATGAAGTTAACGAGAACGAAACATACACACACACACACGCACACACACACACAACGCGAGATTGTTCGCCGCGGGAAAATTGCGCGCGGTTCAACTTCCAAGGAGAGTTACAATCTAATGGCCCGATTTAGCGGCTCATACGGCCTGCCTTAAAAAGTTATTCCGCGTCGGCACATAGAGAGACTGGTTCCCGCAAATTTGCTCATGAAAAGTTTCACGGCTTTCAGATACGCATCGTTTCCCGATTCGCTTCGAAAGGAATTACGGGCGGCCCGAATGGATAAGAGTGCATCGAATCTCCCGGATTTGAGATTTGACAAACAAATCGGACTACACCGCGCCGTTGCGTTACGAAAGTAATTCAATTAGTCGCGCGTTTAAACGACAACGAACGTCGGCTCGTATTTATTATTGAGTGAAATATCTACGAAGCAATTTCAACGACGAGATGGAAAATGAAAAATTTCGTAGTCTCCTAAGTGCGGCCTGAGACAACACGGATAAATCAAACGTGATAAACAAGGCTCCACACGACGACGCGACACGCGCGTTAAGTTATTACAGCTTAAATTACCAATCGATAAAGGTTGCTTCACCTCGCGATGGCCTCTCTAATCCATAATGTCGGAGTGTAAGCCGTAAAATTGCGTTAAATAATTACAGCGTTAATACAACGTTTACCAAGGACGAAGTATTCTATAAAGTAGTATACCGCTGTCCGCGTTGCAAATTATCGTTAATGCTTAACGGGCTGCGCTAAACGATTACGATTTTCCTGTTAAAACCTTTATACAAAACCTTCGTTACGATGTAAAATCCATCGCAACAAACACGAGGATTTAATGCAAGAGTAAAAATTAAAAGCAGTTGTATTGAAATATACATAATGATAAAAAATATAAATATAAAATGCGATGAAAATATCATAAATGATTAAATATATATGCAATTCACGATATACAACGAAAAAGTCAGATGAATAACGTATTACAACCTGAAATCTCAAGATAGCTGTATGGCATGGAAACCCAGTTTACCGAGTCGCTTGAAATGAGGGAGAAAACGCATGGGTCGTAAATAATCCTTCTGGTTGCAATACGTCACAACTCTCAGCGCGTAATTCTTCAAAAATCGCTCTGGATAACGCCGACTGTATATCGTGTTGCGTCCAAGAGCTTCGTGGCTCGAAACGTTATGTGCGGTCTCTTAAACTTTAATATAAACCGCTTCGGTATAGGTACTTCGACCATAGTTTACGCGATATCCGTTGTTCATGCACAAGCCGAAGATAATATTTACACGTAGAACGGTTTGTTGCACGGCGAACAAACAAGACGACGTGACAAACAGTTTATTTTTCAACACAATTCTAAACACAATGCAAACATTCAATAGAAATGGTTTTACGTTACAATTGCTACGAATAAGTCGTATCTCGTTTTCAAGTTTTTTTTTTTTTTTTCAATCGCTTTGATTTTTATTAATCGGACAAGTTATAAATTCAATGAATCAGTTAACGGAAATGAAAATAAAAATACACTAGATCACTCTCTGACGGAACTAGAAGGAAATTATCGCTCAGTTGAACAGCTGACCCTCAAGAGAGCGACGTACACGTAATGTCCGGCGCACCGGTGTGCAATTATGCACCGGGCCGACCGTGCATCGCGCGCACTTGCACGCACGTTGTGGACCTATTACGCAAGATTATAGAAAGCCCCCGGTTGCACACGTGAAAGTGCGTTCGCGCTATCGTCTGCATTCCGGCAGAATGCGGGCCGCGGCGGATGCAAATTGTGTCCCGAGGCGAGTTCGGGTACCAATAGATTGCATTCGAGGTGGAAAACGAGTCGGATGAGCGGCCGCATTATTAACGGCATACAGTAGCCCGTTTATCCCGCGTAAAATTTCGACAGAGTTAGCAACATCTCCGATTGCAATATCGTCAAATGATATTATTGAGCTCTTTCGCTGTTTCTTAATTTTAATTTTAATTTCATATTATAATATATGCGACCTCGTGCACGTGGGCGTATTCCGAGAACACTGTAACCTTGCGATAAGCGCGTAACTTTCAACATGTTGTCAACGTGCACGCAATTGCGACTGTGTGGTAAATATCCTCACGTTTCCCCACCGCGCGGTGATAAACGAGAGGATATCAGAAAGGAAGCGAGGAAACGGGAGCAAATCGTATGAGAGTTTAACTGATGGTGACACGAAACGAAAGCCCCGCTGATATAAAGTGAACGGATGTATGATAGCGAGTTAAGTAAGCTGAACTGACTCACCAGAAACCGATGCAGCAAACCATCAGGCTCTGAAATAAATAAAATATAAAAAGACAATTACGGACAAGTTATACGAAAGAAAGTTGTTTTGCGTCATTTATTTGTAACAACTATACCATATATATACAAAAGCTTCGAGACAGTTATCGAAGATCTGCGATTTATTTCATTGCACGCGTTCAATACTTCGTTTAAAAAAATGAGAAAAAAGTATCTTTAGCGAACGAAAGTTACAAACGCGACGGCGGTGGCCAAAGGATTAAATCAGAACAGCGAAAATGCGAGATACGTGAGAAAGACAAAGGAGAAAGGAAAAGAGAAAGAGAAGAAGTGGAAGAAGGCGAAAAAGGGTCGCAACAAAACTTCGTTTGAGAAACTTTTGTTTCTTCGCCTCGCGTCTAGATCGCCTGTTTCTTTCTCTTTGTCGAAATTCGCGCATAGCGTGTTAAAATGGGTCAAATCTAAAAAAAAAGAGAGAGAAACAAGAGAGAGAAAAAAGAAAGCCTGTTGCCATTCTATTTCGTGCGGCGAACCGCATTTAAGCTGTGCACAAATGTGCCGCGGGGAGGAGAAAGAAATCCGCAAAAGCCTCCTCTCGTGTGTTCGGAGTGTGTTCCGACAGGAATAATAATTTAAAGTCGACAAGGAGATATAAAGCGGAAGTTCGTTCGGCCGTTAGCCCCGAAAATAAGTGCGCGGTCCGTAACTGCGAAATTCATTGTCCGATTCCGCTTTATCCGCCAATTCCCGTTCGTAATTTTCTGGTAGTCGATGATACGGAAATATACACACGTAGGATATTTCTATATAAAATAACTCTTTTTGATTTCACACAATCAGATATATGCATTAAATATAAACATAAATAGAAATTATATATAAAAATTCAAAGATAATATAGACTCCTTGTTGTTTAAAAAAAATACCTATAATTTTGTGTCACACTATGTGTTAACATATCAATTAAAATTTTTTCAATAATTCTTGATAATATGTGTCAATCAGTTTGAGAGAAAATCGATTCATAAAAAATGAATTTATAAAATATGGGCGTGTTATTAAATCCTCTCTAATTACTTACTCCGTAGCATGTCTATCAATTATAAATCCCAATTGTGCACATAATCTTCAACGCGAAAATTCGATATCACGTCCAGCGTAGTTCCGTAATGAAGCACGGACATGTCAATTTTTCATCGCGAAACTGTCGGATTCACTCGTGATTAACCGAATCAATGAGGATCGCGCCCGGGATTCGTCATAATTTAGAACTGCATGCGAATTGCACCGCGAATTACATTGAGTTATGAAAACTTGTTGCAATTAAGATATAAATTTTAACATTGTTATAAAAAGTTTTTATACAAGGAAAGAGTCAACCGTATCTTCGTTTAAGAAAGCAAATCTTTTAAAATATTACGTGTAAACTCTCCCTTTTTCTCCTTTCTTCTGTTTTGCACTTCAACGAATATTCATTGTATTCAATAATGAATAGACTGTGGGAACACATATGTGCTTTGCTTTTCGTCGTAATTAAGACAGAGGATTATTACATAATTTCTGAAAAGATTAAATTTCCGTGGGAGCGACCGCGGAAAATCGCACCGAGTAGTTTTCCGAATTTAATTTCCCGGAACATTAAGCTCTTCGGCTCCGGCGACTATATACACAGAGCCGGAGTACGCCGGAAATTGAAAAAGTTAACGCGAATGTACAGCGTACTCTCGGTGATATTTGATTATTAAATTGATTCGTACTGGTCCTTTGGTCCTTGAAATTTTCTAACGCCGTTGCCATCAGTTTGAGCGACATGCGAATTGATTTGCGAAACCAGCCGCGTAGACTGCGTAGAGCATGTGAGCACTAACATCGTATAAGCGCACATCCCTTTGCGATACAATGCATACGTGCTGAATGCAGAAGTTAGTATTGTTAGCGAGGGACAAAAGCGATACACGACTATAGAATACACCTTGCGTCTTCATTTTATGAGCTCTGATGTAAAACTGCGACTAAACACGCCTCGAAAGACAGTGAATTTCTACTGTCGCCGGTACATTTAATCTTTTAGTCCCACTCGCAATATGTGTATTCAGTAATACAGTGTTAATACTTCGTATTCATGTTCAACTTTGCGATAACTCTGTTAGGCGAGAAAGTTTCCGAGCAATCGAGGAAGAAATATATATTTGTTTCCTACACTGCGCACAATTTCGTAATGATGTTTCACGCGAAGCAGTAAAAAAGATCAAGAAAATAAAAATATATTATTACATATACATATACACTCTTGATACGTCTTGTTGTCGCTTTCATTGTAGATTTACTTTACTCACGATAAACTATACTATCGTTTCAGGGCCATCGGCAGCGCGATATTGATGCTGATGATCTGCGCGGTCGTGTACGAATACAGATCGCTTCCCCTCGCGAGGGACATCGAGTCTTCGAGCGTGTCGAATAACAATGACAAAACCAACGATTTTATCGACAAGAATCTGAATCTGAATCAAGAGCGCAGGATCTCGATGGGACAGGAAAACGATCAAGAGCTGATCGAAAAGGGGAGGAAACATCCGCAAAAAGAGAGCCCCGTTCAAAGAAAGGATTGTAGCCAAGGTTAATGGCGTATATCTACATCTCTATCGGCACCTTATCGCGTCGGATATATCCTTAAAAATTCTTCAACGCAATTTTTGTCGCCACTTTTTTCAGGATTCTGGCTAAAATTTTTACTCGCGTTCAGCCCCATCGTCAACGGAAGTAGGATCATCAGCACCGAGCCTGCGGCCAAAGACAGTCTGACTTGTCTCCACGGACTTCGCGTGTTCTCCTTGGGATGGGTTATCATGGTGCACACGTACATTCAGGTCTTCTCGATCGCTGGTAATTTCCGTGAGAGTTGCAAAAATAACGACTTTCCAAAACGAACGAACGTTTAACGGCAGAAAGCGTGGAAGTGTAGAAGCGTAAAACGAGAAGCGTCGGAGATAATGGCATGGGATAATTTTGTTTCTCATTAACAACGCTTCAAACTAATTTGATCGCTCTACTTTCTATAAGTGGCACTCGATGCAACTGATAGACGTTATGATGTAATGGGGATGTATCAGGTTTCCCGATCGGCGGATAATCGAAGCCTCTCTTCCTCGCTTTATACGCGTATATACTTTCACCCGACAATTCCGCGATTAAGTGTTTCCTCATTACGCTTTGCAGAGAACAAGACATTGCGAACGGTCACAGAAAGGAATTTCATGTTCCAGACCGTCAGCAACGCGACATTTTCCGTGGACACTTTCTTCTTTATTAGGTAACGAACACAATGTACGTCAATAAACATTTTATCTCACTAATACCAGAAATTAATTTTCGACAATTGTATTGACAGTGGATTGTTGGTGACGATACTTTTCTACCGATCCTTGGGCAATCTCAATATAGAGAAGGGCAACTTTTTGAAGACGAGCTTCACCAAATTCGTTATCATGATTTTATACCGATTTGTCAGGTATCTATTTCAGGCGTTATATAATTCCTTCCGTTGAGAGAGAAAAGCAATTCAATTCCGGATAAGTTATATATGATATACAGTTCTTATCTTGATCTCTTTGTCTGTGTTTTCACGAAGATTGACACCAGCTTATCTGTTTGTGCTGGGGATGAACGAGATCGCTATAAAACAAGCCCAGGCGAAGACAGTCTTTTCGCCCGTTATTATCGATCACCTGACCTGCGAAAAGTTCTGGTGGCGAAACGCGCTATATTTGAACTCGCTATATCCGCGCACGGAAATGGTAAGATGATTTATGTTCTGCTTATCCTAATGTTTCCTTTCCTTTTTTTTCACGTTATTGTGTATCTTATGAGCCAAAGCTTTCGACGAAACATAAAACTTCTCACATGCACTCATTTTGTAACACCATTCGCGCCGAATACGTATTTTTATATATTGTATATATATATTTTTTTCTTTTTTAGAAAATTGAAAAAAATATTGACCCCATAACGCTAAAAAAAACGTTATTAAGTGTTATAATTACCGAAAGATAACGGATTGAAAAAAGAGATTGCGAAATTATTTTAATGCTGCTTTCGAAACAACGGTGCCTTAAGTTATTGATGATACAATAAATACGGGTAACGAAGAATATTGCGTAATACGCGGTTATGTAAAAAACGAGTTAACAACGTACTTTCGACGAGCGATAGGTAGAGAGAACCCGTAAGGATCGGTTTTTACGTCAAAGCGATATTTAATGCGTCTCGCCTTTGCCGCGACGCGCGCGCCTGAATTTTCCTCTCCGTGTGCCCTAGTTCTCTTTACTTTCGCAATCCCGTCGCGATGCAATATCTGCTCGGCAATTGATTCGCGCCTATTACATTAATAACTTTCTAGTGCATGATGTGGAGCTGGTACATGGCAAACGACACGCAGTTCTACGTCCTTGGGATACTTCTTCTTTTGCTCTCGGTGAAATATTTCAAGACCGCGGTCGCTATCGTTTCGCTGCTGATCGTCTCTTCGTGGTTCACTACGTTCTCGATAGCCTACAGCAATGATTACATAGCCAGGTAATGTCTTGGAGACTACCGATCGATATTACACACGTGTCGTCACACATTTCGCGCTTTCTCCGAGTTTGCTGCGGTAAACGATACGCTTGTAATAAGTTAACGCCGCATAATATTAACGATACTTATTACTTCGCTATAGGTATCATGAATATTAATGCGCACGACTAATTTATAGCAAGACAGTTTTAAAAAAAAATATTTATCTAAGAAATCAGATAAAATGAGAAGTAAGAATTCTAAGAAAAACAAGATAAAAAATATTAATTAAAAAATTACGCTTAAAAATATGTCTTGTTATTTCGGGAGTGAGTTTATTATTTAATTGTATCGAGTCAATTCGTTGAAATTGTTTATAATCAGTTCGCAGAGAATCTTAATTATATTAACGAGAGAAACAATTTCAATGTAACAAAGGCCTTTCACGGCTATTCAATGAAACGCAACAATTGGAATACACAGCCTCTTATACGACGCCCGTATGACTTGCTCTCCCATTGAATAAAGTCCCTCGGTCTTTTTATTCGGAACTGGGTGGAATACGGGGTGGAGGAACAATGCAATAAGCCCAGGTATCTGTCGAACCATCGCCTGTAATTGGAAGCAGGCTTTCATTTCAGACAGCTTCATGGCGATGCGCGTGCCTATTGTAGACATTGTACTTTGCATTATTCGCCCGCCCGACGCGGATGCGGCAATTTCACCGCGCGCGCGATATTGCGTACACACTTAATTCCTTTATCAACACTTCGACACAGGATCCAAGAGCCGTTTGCCCTATTCGATGAACTCTACGATAAACCCTGGCTAAGAGCGGGCCCGTATTTCATCGGCACGATTAGCGGTTACATTCTCTTCAAAACCAAATGCCAGCTGAAGCTACCTATGGTGAGCATTTCGAAACACACTATTCCCAAGCGGTTTTGCGCTATCGGGTTAATCATTTAGCCAATCAGTCAGCGATATATTCGCGCGTACGCCTCGCCGGCGCGATAATGACGCGATAATGCGGATTTGCCGAACAATTGCATAATCCGTGTATTTATAATATATAATATGCGCGACGAAGGCTGCGAACAATAAGATGATTAAAAATGATTGCGTAAAATGTAAAACGATAAATATCTTGATACGAGTAATTTCCATTGTAATTTTGAGTACCCTTAAACTACGAAGATTGTTAACGGTGCTATCTACTCATATATATTGCGCGTTGTTTTTTCAGCGTGAAATTCTTTCTGTGAAACTAACAGAATCTGAATTCCACAGGGAGCGGAATTAATCGGGTGGATACTGTCCGCGGCCATTATGTTCTCGGTGGTGTATGGACTATACCCCGGAAATTTGACGGTGATGGTGAGCTCCGTATATGCTGCCTTAGGACACACCGCATGGGCGATGGCCGTGGCTTTTATCGTGATCCAATGTTGCACAGGGTCAGCCCGAATGATCGACAGTTTGCTTTCGCTACGACTAATGTATCCTCTCTCGAGACTCACGTATTGCGCTTACCTAGTGCATCCTGTTATCATGATGATCACGACTACACAGATGGACGGGCCGCTGCATCTCCATAATGGGATGGTGGTAAGATAAAAGGAAGATTTTCTGATCATGAAGTTCGTATTGCTACATAATTTTCACATAGAAGGATCCGTACGTAATGTCATAGTACTTCTATACGGAAAAATAAATAACATACGTAAAATAGAAATTTTAAAATTTTATACGTGACTTTATTTTTATGATAGACAATTTAAAAAAAAAATACAGAAAGTCAATAGTTCTCAGATATTTTTTATCGCTTATAAATTGAATAGCTTTTAATTACTTCGTGACACAAATTGTTCGATATATCTCAACGATAAGTAGTGATAATTATTAAGATATAAATTAAAAAATTCAATATTACTTTTGAAAATATTACATATAATATAAACATGCAAAATAAAAGCTAATTATAAAATGTCATATGCACAGTATCTCCTTTTATAATAGAATAAAAAAACTCAATATCGCACTTTTGAAAATATTACATAAAATATAAACTTGCAATATAAAAGCTAATTATAAAATGTCATATACATACATCTGGTTTTTATATAAATAGAATATTATTTTACATTTTCAACTTCTTTTCTCACGTAAAAACATTCTCTTCTCGATTACACTTTTAACGAAACATTCTATATAACAGATACCACTTTTAGAATCTTAAAATAAAATATTCCAGTTCAATTTATTCTAATTTGCAATACAAGAATTATATTAAGTGCTATGCATATTTCTTCCGCAGCTTATCCTCTATTTCGGCAATTTAGTAGCCTCGTACTGCCTGTCGTTCTGCATTTCTCTCGCTCTCGAAGCGCCAGTGGTAACTTTGTTGAAAATTGCATTTACCTCGAAGAAGAGGGCGAGATAGAATGCGATCGTTCGCCTGATAGAGGAATAAATGCGATTTTCCAGCACAGTAAGTATGTAGAAATTATGTACGTGAAATTATCAGATAGATAATGACTGTATGTTGCAACTATGCATTTGTCGCTTATCGCGTGAGCGATAACCGCATAATTTAAGCACGATAATGGATAATATTGATCGATTTATTGATATAGCTATACTTCTTACAGGTAATGACATTGCTCCAAATCTGAATCTCAAAGCAAAGATGAAAATCACCGAACACTTTTCCACGACGGAAAAGTTCATCTTTATTTGTGACCATAGCGTTGTGACATTTGACAATTCTCGATAATAATGTGAACATTTGGTGATAATTTATGTGATACGATAAGTCTTAACTCCCTGATGTTGAGATCTTTTTTTGCAAGACATGCAAAAATCTAAATTCCTCACAAATCAATTTATCACAATTATAAACGAAAGGTACGGGGAGAAACAAAACATGAAAACGTTTAATTAATCATTCCAGAAATAAAATATCACAAAGTGAAGATATATAAAAAATTAAAACCAACTGACATAAATACAAAGTTTTGTCAGCTTTTGTCGAGTCAAAAAGTTTTGAATTTCGGGGACAGTATATTTGTAATAGTTCTCGCAGAGTTAACAGTTGAAATGAGACCGAATACACGTGAATTATATATCTTTTGATTTTAACACGATAATAATTACGTATTAAACAACACCTGCTAGTGCAACAATCCTATATTTACGTAATGGATAGAGGAAAACGTGTCCGAGAAAGCGTAAGCCGCCAACAATACAATATAAAGTCACATAGCGTGTTGCGAGACTTTTCTCGCGTCATATAAGCCGCGAATCTATCATGTCGCGTGTGAATGAGGGAAAAATCTAGGATGGAAGCCGTAAATCTATATAAAACAGGGTATAAACAACAAAAAGCGTTTAAGCATGCAACACATTGGGTATATTGTAATATGTGTATCAATCTTTGATATAGTTTTTTGTGTAGAAAATAAATAAGCGGGCTACGGCAATGTGTGAAAAAATGCAGTGTTTTCATCGCGTATTTGGCAGCTCATTGTCAAACTGATATAATAAATTCAGTCAGCGTGTAAAGAAATAGAAAAAAAGCATGTGTGATGCGTTTGTTCCAGAATTTATGCGTACCACGCGGAACCATCGCCGACGGTTGAATAACGAAAGAAAAAGCGAAAAATACGTTGTACAGTACAAAATAGAAAAAAATAGAAAAAATACATTACTTTTACATATATATGTATATCAATAAATATAAAAAAACTTGAAAAGAAAGCAATTTACGTTAAACGACTACATTCGATTACCTTCTCACACTTCACAATTTTATACATTTTACCCTACTATGATAAAATATATTTTAAAATATATTTTAAATCTATTATTGCGTACTGCGTTATCGCAAATAATACAAAATTTAACATACCACTGCAAACGGTATTAAATAATATTTAAAAGTAAGTTTTTAGAGTCCTTGTGATGGAAATCAATTTGCCACTGTTGTCTATTATCAAATTCAAATAAGTCTCAGGTTTGCTTATCATTGACTTCCTATCGTATCTGGACGCACAAAGGCTTTCTCCTCCTGCTTATAGCGACCAGAAAGCGATGCGTGACGTGAAAGGAGGCGCATGTCGCAAATTGATTTTCGATGCTTCAGGAGCTAGGCATCTCCGGACATTGCATTTGAACGCGTTATCTGCCTGCTGCAGACGCGAAAATAATTTCAAGTTCCTTCAGAGATGCGACCGTTCGTCATTGCAAGATGATGAATGGCTAAATTAATCCATAAATATGCAACATTCGGATGGAATTTAGCTCGTCCCATTTCTTGCAGCAATTTAATTACATTTGTTAAATATTAAAATAATAATTGATTAATGTATTTAAAATCGCGATTCTTCATTTGGAATTTTCGACTTGATTGACCGATGAACTTCATATTTAATTCCGTTCCTAAAATTTCAAATTAATTTTGATGAATGGGTTGTTATATTTCAAGTATAACATATTTAAAGCTTCCTTTTGTAGATTAATGTCGTTAACAATTAATTCCGCTTGATCAAATATAATCGTTTAGATTATATTTGATAAAATTTGTATTACACACGATATATTATGCAAGCGCGAAGGAATGTACAATATCTACGATACTTCTCACTTCTGCCCGGTAAGCACATTTCCAGTTTCATCTCTACCTTATTTTGCACATGTCACGTTTACTCGTCGTATATATAGGAACTAACAGAGCGGAGAAATAATAGAAATAATATGTGAATATGTTAGTAGAACGTTTAACATATTGTTGTACCATAATGCATACCGAGTAAACATTGATTACTAGAAAAATCCATAACACTCTTGTCGTCGGAAATTGCCGAACACATATTTCCGGTGAAACTTCATAGTATAGCAGTAAGATGTTTTTAATTTCAGCTTTAGAAAACGTTGCAGCGAAAAGATAATATTATTTATTAACGTTAGGTTCTTTCTTCAAAATTTTTTTTGGAATGTAAAAATGGAGGGCTAGATATCATAAAGGATCAATTATTAATCAGTAAAACCCCAATTAATGAATTACTGATACGTGCGTACGCATTTAGATGTGCTAACAAATACGTAAGATATATAATCTGCGATACAAGATAAACTGGCGGTATTAAAATTTACACCCATAGATATAAAATTAACCTCTCAAGATACTGGACGAGATTAGCGACGATTTTTCACTGAATTTTCATGACGGTGTTTAACAAACAGAGTTTACTTGAAATAAACGTAGCAGATTAATTAGAGCGTCACCATTTGCGCCTTTTAAGAGCTAATTGTAGCATTTAAACGCTGAGCAAAACGCCTTCCGCTGACGATACAGTTTCGTGGAGTGATAAATCTTTAGCCAACCAAAGCCTGTGTAGTATCCACCATCTGGGGTCCGACACCAACACGCACACAAGAGAAAATTGCTGAAGAATTAAGGTCGCTCTTGAGATCGATATCCATCCTATTTCAGCAAATGGCCCTATATTACTCTTTTCTATCCATTAATATGTGCATTCATTAATAATTTCGGTGCATAGGGTGCGACCGAAATCGTGATATTATAAAAGAACGGGAAAGAGATTGTGCAAAAATAATTCGAAAGTACAGAATAAACTTTCTTTTTCGCACGCGAAGTTTAACTTTCAAGAAAATCCACTTTGAGAACTGGTAAATTGATAATGTTTCCTTTCTTTCTTGAGTATGAATAAAATGCGAATGGTTTCTTAGCGCTATACTAGTTGTCGAACTTATTACAATGCAGCATTTATTAAAACATAAATACAAAATGTACATAAAATTTCTTTAAGGCTCTTGTTCACTCACTGTAACCATCTTATTGTTAAATTGATGACGTCAGAAGCGAGAAATGATATCGTGAAAAAAAAATCTTGCAAAGTACATTAAAATAAAAATGTTTTGCAATGAAATAACGTTCGTAATCGATAGAATAGACTTATAAAATGTACTGAAAACTCCCCATTTGTCTAGATAATTAATAAATGACCCCACATATGTCGAACTGAATTGTGTCTAATCAAGGACGAAAACAAGCTGTTTGACAGTTGCCGAATTGAAATGAATATGTTTGTATATTAAATTATAATAAAATGGGAGTATTTTAATACTACGATAATTATTTCAAATATAAAAACACTAAAACGAAAAATGACGTACAGATTGCAAGAATAATTTAGCTTTTTAATGTTATTTTTCATGCCTTTTAATTCATAATTTTACCAAGTGTGACAATGAGTGCACCGTCAACGCGGACTTTGACAATCGAGCCAGCAAGAGCCCTAAGAAAAAAATATTAATGTGTTTAACATTTGATATCTACTTTGACTGCACGATGTATAAATCTTTGAGAATGTGCACACCGCGAATGAAATATTTAAACCCACCTGGCGTTACTTGCTACTCTAGAATGTGTAAAGTGTAAAAGCTGTATTAAATTTTCCTAAATTGCATATAACGGAAATACAGATTCGAAAATCGTTTGCCATGATTTTGCGGTTACCGAATGTGGCAGCCTCTATGTGCATTACCGCAATGACATTGTCCATGCACACATACATACACACATACACAAGAGAGAGGGGGGAGAAGAGAGCGAGAGAGAGCGAGAGAGAACATACATACACATGGGAGAACATCGGAGTTGGTTGCGGATGTGTTTTCGTAGCACGTGGATACTGTCAGATTAAATCCACAACATAACTGAGTAAAGACACGTGCACGACAACGCAACCACAAACTCGACATCTCATTAAGAAAATCGATATCACTTTAATTATCACGCACAAGTAGCGGAGACATTTGAACGTAAACGCAGCCATTAAAATAAACGAAACAAAACGAACGTTCGATCGAAACTAAACTAAAAGTTTGATTAAAAATTAATTAAAAATCATTTGTATTTTCGATCTATATCCGTACATTTTCAATGCATCGCAAGTTCCAGTTAATATCCGATTCATTCAACAATACTTAATTTAATTGCATAATGGAAGTCCAGACGAAAAATACAGCACGCTCTTTGCCGGTCTATTTCTTTACCGACAAATTTTGTACGGTACGCTTATCATCCATATTACGTTCTAGGCAAAAAAAAACAAAAATATTTTACTCTATATTGACAATTTATGATTAATTTTCTTTCGGACTCCGTTCTCTATACGATCGGTTTAAACACATATGGGAGAGTTCCATTTCCTGGGCTGAATCGCGAAATGCGGAAATTGGTTTGAGAAGACCGCGAAATGTGTGCGGATACACAAAACCCACTGCACTGCAAACAAATTTCGTATACAATAGTTCTATTCATATTCATAAGCGATATAATATGTGTTCGATCGCGTTCGTCGTTTAAGCGCACTATAGCTTGAATATAGCTTAAATTAAATTATGCATTATTATCGTTATAGCATCATGTGCGTTATTAAAGACGTTCTCCGGTGGCAGTTGTGCTCAACTCAGACGCACGGAGTAATGATATGGTTGACAACTACTTCCGTGCGCAAAAGAAACTCGCGTCTGAAACTCGTCTAGCCGCGCAGTTTTACTCGATCTGGCAAATTTTTGTTCCGTTTCTATTTCTCCAATACCAATCATAAATGAGTACGTCCTACTTGTCTATTGAGTATTCTAAAAGTAAATAATAATGGTTCATAAAGAAAAAAGATTAAATAACTTGATTTAAATAACGTTGCCCATAAGATCTTGACGTTCTCTACTTAACCTATATGTCGCAGCGGTAGCAACGTTGTCAAGTCTCGCAGTGATCTCTCCCTCTCCCTGCCTCCGAGCAGACGAAAATTATGTCCGATAGTGTTCTTTAGACGACTATTTCTCAAAAATAAATACCGCTTGCTATATCGAACTTTATTGTCATACGTTACTAATAATATGAGGCATCTTGTACTATTTTTTCAAAAAAATTCTAAGAAAACTGTATTTATTATTCATTAAAATGTCCGTGTCGAGAGAGCTCAACATAGGGATCCCGTGTTAAAAATCTTTGAAGCTGAATATCTCAAATTTTAGTACCGCAATGGGCACCTACGTATAAAACGCGTTTAATTAAACATATATTGAAAGTTTAAGAAAATTTCTAAGAAAACGATTTTGCCGGTGAACGTCCTTAAGAACAAACTATATAAAAATATGCCACACGCATATCTATTTATGCCACATCAATTTAGGTATTTTACATGTACCTAATTTAGAAATGACAAAGCTTTACGATGCAAAAATACGACGCAATGTTGCAATACGTGATTAATTAAATTCTTTACAAAATTGAAAAGCGCGGTACCTCGTTCCATTTTGTAATCGGAATGCACATGCATTTGCATGCGCCGTTCGCACACATAGACCCATGCTTATGAGCTTTCCGCATTCACTTTGATGAGTGTGTCCGCCTGCATTCTTAACCGAGCTTAACGTAACCTACTTCCGGCCGGTGCAACTTCTTGTAATTAGCACGCTGAGCTGCAGCTCACACATGCGTTTCGACGTTACACCTCTTAAAGAGGGAATTTCCGCGTAAGCAAATTTCTCTCGTTAAGCGGTTACCTCCGAGCCGTTTCTTTAACATAAATTTTCGTTCGGCACGTAATGCGTTACAAAATTCCATCCAAATATAATAGGATTCTGAATTTATACAAATATAATAAAATCTGAAATTTCCAAGCGCTCATAGACCGTATGGACTGCAGTGTTTGCATGCGATATCTAAATTTACCATAGATTCTACCGATCGAATCTTTTCTCCCGGAGGTTACAGAGATTGTATTTTCAATAAAAATGGAGAGTATACCTGGAGAAATCCTCGGGGATTTACAAAATTCATTTCACAGAAACGCGGCGTGATTAATTATCATCCCCGAAGGGCATGTTCATCGAATTCTAGTTCATCGAAATTTGAAAGCAAAGTCTCCCATGGACTTATTGGTGACTGATGAGATTTTGGGTAGCTTTAACGGAATTAATATTCAAGACCATCAATCTCTCTACATTGTGTTTGTCTTTATACATGTCTGTCGCGATATTAAAATTTTTTATTAATATAGCATTACCTCGAGTATATTACATGTCCCAGATTACATTCACGGAAATATTACTGATTACAAAAAAAGAATCTAATTATTTTAAATAAAGTGAACAGAAGAAGAAGCGTAAGTCTAAAATGTAACGTTTCTAATTGAACTTTAAACTTTGTAATTGTTAATTAATTTAACAATTATCTCTTAAAAAACCCATTTCTGTTATTTAAATCTCAAATTCTAATTGAATACTATTCCAAAACCAAAATATATGTACGTGCGTATTGTAAATAAGTACAAAGAAATAACGAATTGCAGAACCGCAAGCACATTTTTTTACAATTAAATGAATCAACTGTGTATTCGATTGCCAGTCCTGTAATCTTTCTACGAGAGACTTACCACCAAAATCTCATGTTATATATCTACGGTGGCACATGCGCGGATAACGAGGCACGGGAGGTAGAACCTCGTTTTCGGTCAGTCGGCCGAGAGCCGTCGAGGAACTCGAGTTGTATGCGAATTTCGGTGCCCGCGACACACGCACGAGGTTTTCGGAAATCGTTTGAAGACTGATAGAAATCGGGTCCGATTTTTGCAAATAAACGTAAATACATTCGTGCCGCGAAATGCGTCGATCACTATAAAACTAATGATCAAACCTAAAAAAAACCTGGAAGACAGATCTCTTCTGCTAGACTGCTCGAAATGGAAGAAACTCCGGTCCGATAAACTGTCTCGGAATGTTTCAAATTTTTTCACGTAAAAAATTTGCATGTGAAAATGAGGCGTCGGACACAGCCATGATTAATCGCGGCCTAAACCGAGAAAGGGCTCGACTCTGAAAGTTCAGTCGTGCGAAAGGAACCGAAGAAAACGCGGACGTGACTCGACTGATAGGCGCGCGACCGACGAATTTGGGAGTTATACTGGTGAATTTCCGGGGATACGCTGCTGGTGTGTGCTGGTGACAGAGAGAAATCGATCTCTAAGCAATCTCTTTCTCTCTCTCTCTCTCTCTCTCTCTCTAAGCATCTCCAACTCCGATTTGTATTGGACGATAAAAAATTAATGTACATCTTTAAATCAATCAAGCGATATGCTTAATAAAAGTGTAATTAACAAATATATATTTTAAATATTATGTGTATTGTTCGGAATAATCAGTGATTCCGGCCCATCGCTTATGTAATTCACGCGGAAAGTATCCAAGAAAATATCCAAATTATTCCAAGAAGGAATAATTTCCGAAGGCCAGACAATTTTTTTACTCGCAATTGAAGTTTAAGAAAAAAACGCAGACGTCGAACTATCGAGGATCTATGAAGAACGTCACGAAAATTTTGTACCAAAGTATTGCAACGTATTTATGAAGTCGCTGCGCTGACGTATAAAGCATGACACGTCAGACCGCCGAATGTGATGTTCGGTGAAGGACTCCAGGAAGGTCTCACGGAAGTTAGTATGCACGAGGGTTAATGTTCCTGTCTCTCCAACAAGAACAACGAGGAGAATACACGAGGTTAGCCGAGCATGAACAAGGGAAGATCCGATGCGACAACCACTCGGAAAATTTTCATAGTGCTCGCATCGCAAGAATTTCGCGTCCAATAAATTCCTAGGTATGTTAATTGCGGTCCGCGAACTGTCATCTCTCATTTAGAATTGTAATACTATACCTCCGGTATCTGCCACGAACATGTTATTACGCGAGTTACACGTGCGGCGTACATATAGATACGACGAGATATTAAATAACTGAACATTAATTGACGCTGCGGCAATTAATTGAAATCAACATCATATTCATCATAGGAAATTAATATTATTGTTTGTTTATAATTGGAGGGGTTAAAGCCATAGTGGTGTAAGTCACTTTTTTTAACATATCAAGTTAAGTTATAAATGCAGTTTATAAATGCAGTCTGAAAAAAGAAGAAAAAAAGTGGTCAAAAAAATTGATTTACACCACTATGGCTTTAACCCCTCCAATTGTATTATACAATTTACCGTTTATTTAGAAGAAATTGATAACTATTATAAACATATATTAATATATATTTATAGTAAGTGCCTATAATGCATATTATTCATTTATAAGGGATACTCATTCGATTTTAAATTATACGCATTGCTGCTTTGTAAGATATTTATTCGATAATATTAATATCTGAAAATGAAATCACAAAGTGAAATATAAAATATAATTTTATAATTTTACAAAATAGAAGAGAGAAACAAAGTTTTATTTTTAAAACAGCGTGATTATCTTTAGATTGTAATTTATAAAATTTGGGTCATATCTTTTGATATTTCATTCGTTATAGATATCAAAGTATTGCAAATCGATAAAATATAAATTAATTCTTCTTTTTCAAGCTTACATCTCTAAAAAGCTTATATCCGAAATATCCGCATTTTGTGTACACGGCGTTTTCACGTGACTTTGTGTTTGACTTATTATCCAAAAATTCTACCAATTGTGCGAGCTTCTGTTCACATTTCATAGTATGATGTATCGACTTTCGATACCCGCGCCCACTGCTGATTCACGACTGCGAACAGTTCCGACGGGGAACTGCTCGCTTTTTGCAGCATTATCTCGCGTCACACGCTATGAAGCTTAATAAGCGAGATACAAAGATGCTGGATCATTTCCAGATTGAGAAATTGCTCTTTTATTCTCTTTCAGTCATAAAATATTGCCTCTGTCACGTCAAAAGTCGTAATGTTCTTCTCGGATGCACGACATCCGTCAATTTTATTTCGCTAATATTTTCCAAGAATGCCATGTGCATGAGAATGTCGGGTCACGTAACGCGGGTATCGCAAAGCACAGCACATACCACGTGCGAATAATATACTGAGTGTATCGTAGGCAAAGATAAATCGCTAAGTTTTTTTTTTATCTACACTTTCTCGAACAGCATCCGATGCTCTTTGCGAAAAGAAATTGCCTATTACCTAGTGTCGTTATAATGACGCCATTACGTTCAATTAAAGCAGCTAATTCCAATAAAGTAACACTGAGTGCATCATTTCTCACATTTTGTATGATCTGCTACGTGATATCGGGACCGTTTAATGGAGAACATTTATCAAAGACCGACAGGTTATATACAGAAAAAAGTCCTGTCTACATAAATCTTCGAAAAATCGAGTGTAATCACGAGGGTCACCCTCGCGATGGGAATTAAGTAGTGACCCTATAGAAATAGACCGGCATGTCGATGAATGATATTCAATTTACTTTGCAACGCACGGTTGACTCGTCGCACAAGCGATTCGTATTGGTGACAAAAAAACTCGCCTGCAGGAGGGCTCCAGTTAAATGAAAATAAAATAGGTTTAAAGAATCAACAAGCAAAGGGAAAAAATGGAAAAACGTGGAAAAAATAATGGGCCTCTTCTTTCGTTTTAACCCCTTTGGTACATGCGGCTGCGATGCGATTAGAGAGATATATTTTAAAGTAATATTGACATTTATAATCCAAAAAATGAATTTAACGTACGTAAATATCTGTCATAACGAAAAGGCATAATCAGCAAGAAAAATAGCGCGAAAACTTTGCTTAATCGGAATTAATTTCATTTTGACTTTTCTTACGCACTTAATAATGTAATTAATACTAATTAACTAATTGTTGACGAGATGAATAGTGTATCCTAGCTACATTTGTAATTCAAATAGTATACACGAATAGTACATCCGAGCAAGGGAATTAGCCCAACGGCCTAATTTAGATGTTTCCCGGACATATACCTAGCTTTGTCTAAACATCACTTATTTTGATAAATAGTACATGTATACAAATTATACGATAACGCGTAGTAATTATACTTGACTACAGACATAAATTATGTCTGTGTGTTGGAAGTAATGTACAAGGTGTCTCGACTCATATTTTATGCATGAATTATCTTGCAGTTTACATTTAACTAGCAGTTTGTATATAACTAGACAGTACTTAAAAGTAACAGATATATATATAACGATAAAAATCAAGAAACAAAGCGCAAAAATGGTTCGAAAAAAGTAAATTGAATTTTGACTGCAGCACAAATCTTCTCTTGATGCGCGGAATGGCGGCGACTTGATTGCAAGGCAATTTTTTGCTTTCAGTCCGCGTTGCTGAAACTTTCATAGAAAAGAAAAATTCGTGTTACTCGCGAATTCATCCAAAAGGCATCGAATCAACTGAAATATACGCGGTGGAATTGCCCATTTTATTTGTCGAAGAGGAGCGATACGATAGCTCGCGGGTACGATATTCTAGGATTCAAGATTCAAGTTTCGTGTCTCGTTAACTCCGTAACCCCTTAGCGATCAATTTCAGATGAAATTTCATCCGTACGGAAATCGAAATAGCAGAAACTTGAAGAAAACGAAACACGAGACATGAATCACGATATTGCGTCTAACAGGAAAAATAGACAAACATCCCAAGAACTTTATTCATGAAATTTTTATATTAATGTTATTCTTCGGTTAAACAGAATTACAAAATGATGAATTCATATTTCATATTTCCTTGCCAAACTTTTGTCATTGTTTAAAAAAACATTTTACATTAATAAATATTGACAAATAAACTTCATGCGATAAATAGAAAACGTCGTGCTCTGTGAGAAAATTAGTAATATATGTAGAAATCACAACATTCTTGATAAAACTGAACAGAAAGAGCATAATATTATGCTTGCAATTATTCACTACATTAATCTCGGATTTATATATAGAGATAAAAATGCAATGTATGTTCGCGTGTAGCAATCTTCTTTCATAATGTTGAGCTTCTTAGTTTTGTTACTTTACTACATGATATTCTTTGCTCCAGCATTGCTTACGGCTCCGTGAATTTAAAACTTTTATTAACGTTTCGTTTTCATTCCTTTACATTCATGTTTTTCCAAATGTACAACTATTGAGAAACTATTTAAAAATTCTGCGTGAAAAGATGTTACAATAATTGAATTCATATTCATATTATACGTGCCGGATACATACGTATACTAATTTATTCACTCTAGATTTTCGCTGTAATTCTGGATTACGTAAATGTCCAGAGTCAATTATGACTTAATAAATACCTTCAAGTTTATTGCAGCGAAAAATAATACGCCAACAGAAAATGCGATTATGACGCTTTGAATAAAACTAGATATTTATGAGTAAACTGGGTTAAAATTCCTTGAAATAATTATGTATACCGTGATTCATCCTCTTCATGATCGTCTTAAGGAAAAGTACATTATTCCTGTTCATTAGCAAAACGAGCTCTCATCTGCGAATAGTTCATTAAGGTTCTTGTACATAATGAAGCCGCGCAATTTCAGATAAAGCAATAATCTGTTCAGGTAAAGCAATGCTTTGTGTACAAGTACCATAATCTCACCGTACATGTATGCGAATCTTAAACATATGTTAACTAAAAGTATATTAAAATGTATTAATATTAATAAATATATACTAAAATATGCTAATATCAAAACATTAAAATATAAAAAATGCACAAAATAAAAAAAAAATGTTTAAAATGTTCAATATTATATGTGTTCAAATATTTAACCGCGATATTCGGCAATAAAAAATTTGTGCGGTTTTAAATCAAAAATTGTTATTTTAAAGCAGATATTGTTATAATATCTAATGTAAACGTTATTCGTTCAAAAACAAATTTTTTTTCAATTTAATCTAATTTCCGTTCACAATAATATTGCGCAGAAATTCGTATTCACGATTGCCTGCATTCAACTGGCAATATAAGGAGCGGTTTTCACTGAAGAGATTTCCCTTTTATGGTGCATTTTACGGGACCATCACTTAGGTAGATCCCTCGGTCTGTTTTACGTCGTCGATCAAACTTTTAAACGGAATTCTCTCGGTGGAATAGGTAAGGCGGCAAATTGTTTTGCGCGGATTACAATGTAACCCTTTCGCGAGACTTATACGAAGCGGGAGCGCAGAATTACGACGCACTTTCCGCGGTGGGCGCGATTGTGCCGGGACGTACCTAAAGTGCGAAAGCAATCAAACAGTATCAAGAACCCTCCTTTAATGTGCCGGCTGAGCAACATCCAGAAGTATCTACACCGCGGTAGAGGTAAAAAGTTTAACAACTACTTTTGCCATCGCCGAGATACTCGCGGAGCTTTCGCGTAGGTTAGCAAGCATCAAAACACGCTCGAACAATCTTCCGCAACTTACAATTAGTTCTCAGCTGGGAGGTGGTGTCGCGCTGTGAGCATTACGCTCAGCTAAAACATTATTCTCTATAAACTTCAATTATCTCGATATTCTTATAAAATAGTATTTCTTGTATCTAAGAACTCTATTATGCGCAAGCTTTTAATTCTATTTATAATTGATGTGTATAATTTCTGTTTTAATATACTCTTCTTATTGTGGAATTGGCATGAATTAGTCAGTAACTAGAAGCCACAGAGAATACTATGATATGCAATTATCTAGGTTACGCAATTATACGTATTCCTCCGGCAATATTCCGTACTCTGAGAAAGTTGAATCGTATCTCTGACCCAATCTTCATACGGTTCACACGAATGAAAATGTTTCAGTGCAGTCTAAAATCTTCCTACGACACGCTACACCTCGCAAACT